GGAAGGACTCTTTTATAGACTGAGCTTGTTATCTGCAAAAGCATAAACGTTAGCTTAGGGCAAGGGACGGTGCAGATACCGTCTGACGTGTGTGCCTCCGTGATTCACAAAGATAAGCGGTCATCGAAATATCTATTTTGTGTTCCTCAGCTCTTCTATTTAATTACTCAGAGTCGTCCATTTCTGATCAGGTGTGGACGGCACAATGAAACATCTTATCATGGAGATCAAGTTCGAGCCCAATCTTGGGTGCAAGCTTATAATATTAACAAAAGCAGTATTACAATGGTATTGTAGCAGATTACAGTAGTTTATTATTCTTATGAAATTGTTTTAGATGGCATAAAGAGCTTTGCCAGCCCCAGTTACGAAGACCGCGTTGACTGTTGGCTACCTTTGCAGGTAGAGAGTACACTCTTCGTCGTAATTCGCCTTTCTTCCCATGATGCCTGCATTCAGATGCACTTGCGCCAAAGTTGAATTGTTAAGTTCATTGCCGATGAAAATGATTTACTAGAGGTCTAATATGATTAGAAGTCCAGATTGAGCTTTTTAAATTAATCGTAATTAATTTTCTCGCATGTCCAAATGAAGTTCATCTGTGAGAAGCCCACAGCTTTAATGCGAGAAAATTTGTGCCGCATTTTCATCCTTCGATTGTTCATAGGCTCCAGTATGACGGGCTCTTTGCCTGTCACAAAATGCATTGACCCGGGTTGCCGACAAGATGAGGTTATGTTTCGCCTTGTAATCGTTTCCAATGTGAGCCGAACATGACTGCGACAATCACAAGTGTTTTCATGACCATTACAAATATGAAATGATTTTTTGTGCGAATCAATCATTTTTCGCCAGCCAAAAAGACATGGCGAAATGAAGCTGGTGGGGAGGGTGGAGCCGTTAGGGGAGGACTGTTTTGTCGCCGACGTGTAAATCTTATAATCATATTTATTTATGAATATTGTGCAAAACGCGGTTGCGCGTGCTAAGCACTTAGGCCTCTCTGATGAGCAGAATCTTCATCTGATTGGCACATGGAGCGGTAATTTCAAATAGCAGATTCGACAAATGGTAAGGCAATAGTTGACCATATGAACATGCCAACCTATGACAAATTAAAATTTATGTGAACTCCTTCGTTTCACTGAAATCTACTTCCTTTCATTGAAAGCTGTGCACTTTCTCTAAAAGTATGTCAATGCGAAAGAGAGCCGTAAAGACAAGGTATATACTCAGTATTAATGGATAAAGAGAAACCGTTACTTAAAATTTTCAACAGTCGGCATTTCCTTTTATTTTAAACCTAAAGAGCCATATCTGGCTTGAAGTTCCGCCAGGCAGTTTCATGCTGCACATCACGTCATACGGCGCTTAATCTTTGAATCTAAAACCAACATAGGTCACCTACATTGTGACACAGGACGCACCATTCTATACAGTATCGTTAGAAGTCATTAAACATGGCAGTTGTTTACTTCATTATGTCAGTCGTGCACCATTCGTTTCTTCATTGGGAGGCCGTGCGTCATTAAAAAATTCACGTGCCTTCATTTGAATACTGAAACTGAGGTTGTACCTTCTCCATTTCTTTATCTGTTTGTTGTGGAAATATTCGTATTTCAGGCAGGTATACCACACACGCTGAATACAGATGGAAGCATGTTCCTGCATGGTACTAATTAGCACTGAATATGATTTAAAGAGAGCGGTCAATCTCGATTACCAGAATATTGATCATTTTTTAACTATGATGGACCTTCATCATTACTGTGCCAAAATTGTACGTGCATGTGTGCTTCACCCTGTCATGCGGTCAAAGTTTCAACGGTTGTCTGCTTTCAAGGGGAACGCAGGAGGCAGATAATTAAGAGCAAGTTCCCTCTTTCTACAGCATTCGCTTTTTTATGTGCTCGACTTACTACTATTGCTCTAGAATTTGTCTCCTT